AGCATCCATCACCAACTGACAGTGCCCTAGACGCCACATCAAAATAGAGGGGCAGAGAGGAAAAATAGATCAGTGATGGAAGTGGCAAGAAGCATGATGGCTGAGAAGGATTTGCCAAAGAAGTTCTGGGCTGAAGCTGTGTATACATCAGTGTATTTATAGAATAGGTTATCAACTAAAGCTGTGAAGGGCAAGACTCTAGTTGAGGCCTGGAATGGTGTGAAACCAACAGCAAAACACCTCAAGATATTTGGATCTTTATGCTATATTCACGTTCCAGAATAGAGGAGGAGCAAACTAGATAACACGCCTGTGAAAGGGATTTTTCTAGGCTTTAGCTCTCAGGCAAAAACCTATAGAATATATAATCTGGAAACTAAAAAAATTATAGTCTCAAGAGATATCAAAGTTGATGAAAATGCTAAGTGCAATTGGGATGAAACTGAATCACAACCATAGCAACCTTCAGTTTTTCTACCTGTGGAGCAACAAAATGTTCCTGTGATTCAACCAGAGGTTCAGCACAACCAACAGAATTTGGTGCTTCAAATGATAGTCCATCAGAGTCAACGACTAGTTCTGGTCTACCTCCTAGAGGAACTAGACCACTAAATGAAGTGTATGAAAGATGCAATATAGCCATTGTTGAGCCAAACAACTATGAAGAGGCTGCTAAACATTATAAGTGGATTAAAGCCATGGAATAAGAGATGAGTATGATTCAGAAAAATGAAACGTGGATGCTGGTGCCAAGACCAACTAACAAGATGGTAATTAGAGTAAAGTGGATTTACAAAGCAAAGGTATATCATGATGGCACTATCCACAAGTACAAGGCCAGACTGGTAGCCAAAGCTTTTGCTCAAGAATGTGGAGTAGACTACTTCGAAACTTTTGCTCTAGTTGCAAGACATGACACAATCAGATTGCTGATTGCATTGGCAGCACAAAAGAAGTGGAAAATACATCTGTTAGACATCAAATCAGCTTTCCTAAATGGTGAACTAGGAGAAGATTTCTTTGTAGAACAACCGGATGGTTTCATTTCAAAGGCAGTTCCTGATCATGTATGCAAGTTAAGGAAGGCTTTATATGGATTGAAACGAGCCCCAAGAACTTGTAAAGGAATTAAACTACTTGTACAATGA